TGGTCTGCCTCTGGCTCTATAATTGGCTTCACAGTCAGTAGGCCTATTAACAAAGTGTGTAGACAGTTGTGGCTCCTTCCAGGTCCCTGGGAGGGCTCCTGCCTAGTCACTGGATGGATGGTTAGGACTGGCCTTGGGCTGTGGCTTGGAGGGACTGGAACTGAGCATCAGGGCTGTTTCAGGTTTTACAGCAAAGATTGAGGTTTGCAGTCCTGGCTCTGGAGGCAATAGATGGGTGTGTCTCCCACCAGGGAGCTGGATGGTTCCCTGACTGTCGCTGGATGGTTCCCTGACTGTCGCTGGACGGTTCCCTGACTGTCGCTGCAGGGGCTGGAGCCAAGTATAGGGCTCTTTCAAGTTCTCCAGGGGTGCACTAGCAGATATGCATTTTCTGGGTCCCTGGGATGACAGATCTCCTAGTGTCCTTTGGCTTTGAGGGGCCTAGAGTCAAGTACAGGGTCCTTCAAGATCTGTGGGAAGTAGAGGCACCAGCTCTTGTTTCTCCCAACCTCCCATCCCTGCCCCAGGCATTCATGGAGACTAGTCTTGCTGGCTATAGATGAACTAGTAATGACTCTTCTTGAATTATGACTTGTCTATGCTGGGCTCTGCCAGAGTTTCTGTACAGAGTGTGTTAGAAGAGTGGGCATGAATATATAATATGAACAGGATAGATGTGGTATGCTAATCTCAACTGAAACTGGTGACCCAGACTCAATATTCGTACAGGTATTTCCTTTCTCCCTGGACCATTTCTCTAAGAAGTGAGGGTTTAATGAACAAATATATATTTAGAGAAATAGGAGCTTGTTTGGGGCTCAACTGCTTTATCTGGTTAAAGGTGACAGAGTTTAGTAATATTAAGAAATTAAAACATTCTTAAGATTCAGACCTACTACCCAGTACAAGGCTGTTATCCTACTTTTCTTACTAATAAGCAGCTTATGAATACTTGTTCTTTTTCTCTGATGTGCTAAAGTGAGATAATCATGATAGTATCTTTTAAGAAATTCCCCGATATAGTATGGCTTGATGTGTAAAACTTTGAGGAACGTAAGGATTACATATTTTTAGAAAATTTTCTATGAATATTATTTCTTGAAACTAAGTATTTGATACGAATTGCATAAAAAGAGGATTCAAGAAGTTTTCTGTAATGAACCTGGATTGAACATTTTAGATATTATAGATCAGGATTGGTAAACTTTTTTGTAAAGGGCCAGATCGTAAATATTTTAGGCTTTGTGGGCTATGCAGTCAGTCTCTGTTGTAACTACTCAGCTCTGCTGTTGTGGTGTAAGAGCAACTTTGGACAATACAAAACTGAATGGATGTGTTCCAATAAAACTTTATTTATGGACATTACAGTTTGAATTTCATGTAACTTTAATGTTTTATGAAATAGTCTTCTTTTGATTTTTTTCAATCATTTAAAAATGTAAAAACCATTCTTAGCTAATAGGCCACACAGATGGCAGGTTATATTTGGCCCATGAGTCATAGTAATTGACCCTTACTGTAGATCAAGCAAAGGTCAAATGAGAAGGAGGAGTTAATATAATCTTGCAAGAATTAACTGTCCCACTCAAGACTTGTGCCTAACTAACTAGATGACCAATTACCTCTACCTGAGTTAGAATGGAGGAGTTCCTCCAAACAATGCTGAAATTTTCTTTATAAAATAGTTGTGGAGTATATAAGAATGTGAACCCAGAGTTCTAACACACAGGACATGACTTTATGTAATAATTTTGGTTTAGGAAATTGAAGGAAATTTTAAAAGCATAGTTAGAAGTAGCTAACTGGGGAAAATAGAGATTCAGAACTCAGGGAGCATAGAAATTCAAGAAGTGATAAAAAGAACCAAGTTTTGCATTTTTAGTTAGGAAGAAAACTAAAAAGAGATCACTGAGTTGGACAAATTAGATCATTGGTGATTTTGGGAAAGGGTAGCTTCATTAAAATGGTGGGAGTGGAAGTTAAATTGAAGAGGATTAAAGAGTAAATAACTAAGGTAATGAAGAAAAGAGTAGAGTTGAAAAATGTCATGGAGTTAGGGAAAATTTGAAGGGCAGACAGTATTGAGGGAGGCAGGAATAAGTAGATATCTAACTTGCCTTTTATGCTTAATTTAGTGGACTTTAACCAGCGATATTTAGAAAGTTTTAAGATATACTCTTGTTCTAATGACATAATTTCTTTTAATTGTAACAGAAAAATGTACCATGGCTATGTATGTCAGTATAAAGATGTTTTGAAGCAATACCAACTAAAATACTCAGAAACACCCCTTTCACATGAATATTATGAGAAGAAAAAGGAACATGAAGAAATTCAAAACAGAATGTTGGCATGTACTGAACAACTAAAACTGAATGAAACGATTTTTATGGAATTGCTTGGTATTAACGTTTTATTATATATTGTTTTAATTGTGTCTTTATAATGAAAATAATATAATAACTCATTCTAAAATATGACTTTGTTTTTCAGTGCCTGCTCCCTTTTCATCACTTACTAAATGGACATTACATTTGTATCCATAACAGTATTTCTACTTAGAATTTTTATTTGATAAGTACTGTTTCTGTATTTTAATTATTGTGTTTCCCTGGTGAGAATCTCATGGATTTTTTTTGTTGTTTAATTCAAAATTTTTAAAAGTTACTTTAAAGGTCATCTGGGATTAATTTTCATATATGTGCATGTGATCAGAAGCAGGCAATTATTAATGAGAATGAAGTGGTATATGTATCTGGCTTTAAATGGCATATCTTAACAACCAAACCAATGAAAAAGACATCTTGCTCTGTCTTACCAAAGAGATCCAATTAAATCAATTGATTATTACTTGTTAGGATGGAAAGTGATAAGGAGGTAAATCACAATTATTCACTCATCTATAGAAATTCATTGGGTACCTACCTACCTTGTGCCAGGCAACGCTCAAGATACAGAACTTTCTTGCAAGGATATTTTAGTAGAAGAGACAGACATATAAGCAAATAATTCTAATATACTGGCATTGTATTAGATGGTTAAGTAATCCTTAATTGGTCTAAGTCTCGTTTGTCAAGGAGATCTTCCCTGATGACAAGCTTGGAACTTTAATAATCTTCCAACCTCCACAATCCTTCATATGGTTTCCTGTCAGATTACAACTGTACCATTTATACTAAATTTTCTTTATCCTTGCATTCTACCTTGATTCATTCTGCTTCATCCTAAATTATTCTTTTAGCCTTTTTGCTACTTGGTCTCTCCATGTTTGGGTTTTAACTTATTCTGTTCTTAGTTGTTCATTTGCCTGCCTATTCTATTTTAATTTCTCAGTGGGAAGGGGCAGAGGTTGGTAGATGCAGAAGGTACAGCAGGGGTTTAGGGATGGGATGGGATGAGATGTATGATTGCATGGCAAACTAGAAGAGGTGATGGAAGTAGGGAGAATTGAAGATTAGGATTTGAATGTCTATACCAATTTAAATTGAGACTTTTGATAACAGCATAGCATTATAAGTGATGTTCATCTGAAATTTTATGCTCTAGCATATAAATCATATTTTAAGGCAGAATGGGAAAGGTCTGACAGATTTTCTCTAGAGTTCTTGTTCACTACCAATATCCTATTTATTTTTAAATTCTCCGAAATGGATTGTAGAGTAACTTAGGAAATTGTAGTAGCTAATGACCATGCAGGATGTCTGTTACAGTAACAGCTGAAAATTTCTCTACTTGAAACTGGGTTTAAATTCAGTTCAAACAGAAAATTTAGATGGAATATCCAGCTCTCTTCTAAGAGTTCTGCATGGTACACTCATGAACCTTACAGAGCAAGAAAAGGTGGATTTTTGAATGTTGACTTTGAGAACAAATAAATAATGGAAACACAAGAAGTTAAATTTGGACCTGAATTGGTTATGTATTATTAGTCATGCCAAAATAATATGATGAACTTGGGTAAAAAAAAAAAAAGCAAAACACCACCCTTTAAAAATATTTAACTGAAAGAAAAAAATCTTAACTAATATTTTGGATGAAATATTATTTCTAAACTCAATATATAACATAGATAAACAGTAAATTATCTTGGTCAGTTTTTCAGATGTTTATAGTAGTCTTACCCCTGTTTTCAGAACCTGTTGTTAATATTGCTATTGTGGAACATATATATAAATAATGTTACATGATATTAATTTTTCTGATAGTAAATGTATTAGAAATGTAAAATTTGCTTGCATAACATAGTTCCTTAACATATAAGGGTTAATTTGAGATGTAAAACACAAGATATTCTTAAACATGCCAACAATTTTTCCAAAATTTCATGTGAATTGAAGAAAGAAGTAGATGAACTGGAAAAAGAAATTAATTATTTAAACCAGGTATATATTTTGTTATACATTTCTAATATATATATTAATGTATAAGTATAATGGTATGTTAGCTGACAGTCTTAGAAGAGGTATTTTTAAAGAGCCTAAATAGGGCCGGCCGAGTGGCGCGTTGGTTAAGAACTGGGTTGGGATGCCAGAGAGCCCCGGTTCGGATCCCACATATCAGGTTC